ATTTAACCCAATTTTCTTCACTTACACTTCATATTTCTGGGTAGGAGCTACTTTTTGGTAATTTTCAAGTGTACAAATTACCTAGAAGTAATGCCTACCCAGAAATTATATTTAGCATTGATGCCTATACAATTACACTTAATTAACATTACTGTATATTATAATGAATGACCTAAATTAACTTCTACCAAGTTCTGATGTATAAACTGCCAGACTGAAAGCAGTAATTTGAATGCGTAATGTCTTTATTAATCCGGCAAGCTTAATATACGCTTTCTTTTGATAATTATATTGCTTGCTGAGAACATCAGGGACGTGACTATGAAAAATGCTCTTTCGATTGTTTTCGAAGGTTTTGTTGAATTTCGTTCCTATTTGACTACTCGAGTTATCCCGTTGATATTTCTTGTCTTTCAGGCTGGTGTGTAATTTTTTACATTTTAGCTATGTCATTAAAGCATAAAAACACATTTTTCTGTTGGTTTTTGGTTTAGGTTGCTGCTTTTTAATTGAATAAGTTTTGAAGATTTTAGTAGAATAATGACGTTTTACCGTAAATGATTGGGATTCTCGTGCTGGCTTTAACTCAAAATTGACAATTTCGGAGTTAAGTCGCTAACAGGTTATAAGATAGTTTGAGTAAATTCACTATGTTATGACTCCTTGTGGAATGAATCCGCAAAATTAACTAGATTGACACAACTTTATAACAGATCATCTTTATGATGTCTTTATATTGACAATGAATGTTAACTATATACAAATATTGAATTTAAATACAATTAAACCTTGATTTAGTGTCATTATTTGTTTGTCTGTCAATATGGTACTAAGTTAAATCACCTTAAACAATAAGAATTATATATAATAATGAGATGTATACACAAGTTTAAAGTTTGAAAGCTGTTATTTGTTGTTTGTCTGTCAATTTGGTACTAAGTGAAATCACCTTAAACAATAAGAATTATATATAATAATGAGATGTATACACAAGTTTAAAGTTTGAAAGCTGTTATTTGGTAATAACAATGTCGTTTATAATGAAAATTTGCACATTTAGCACTTTTAAAATACTGAACGATTAATGAAAATCTGTTTGGGAGTATTTGCTGATAATTTACAATGGTGGTACTATTAAAGAGGACATTATATTGAGATTAAACTGTAGTTAATATTCATTGTTAAATGTGTTTAATTAGTAGATACATAGTTTGAATGACACAAAACAATAAAGTAACTTATGTTAAATAAATTTATGGTAAATATTCAAACTTCATGCCTTTTAATTAAACTCTTAGTCCTGTTTAGAAAAATATATTTAGATGCTCTGCAAAAACTTTATATCCTCTAGCAACACAAATATTTGTATTCACTTACAGTGCATGTAGTTTGTTAGAAGTTGTATTCATATTTATATAACATTTATAATTCATGTCAAAACTAATTATTAATAATTTTTTAAGACTTATTATCTTCTGTACACATTTGTTATATTTCTGATATATAAAACCAAATAATGTTTAGTATGTGTATAGCCTAAATATTTACTTTTCCTATTTTGTGTTAAATATCCAAATCCATTATAAAATAAAAGAATTTTTGAAACTTTAACATAGATTTAAAATAATATATTTTGTTGTAATGATAAAAATGATGGTAACAACTTGTTTTATACTTTCACAGAATTGCTTGCTAAATTAGAATTATATAAATATGTAATATCCAGACAAGGATATGCTTAGGGTTTGTCAGAGGCATCATTTTAGAAATTACAATTGCTTGTAAAATGAAAAGATCTGAATTTTGAAATTGTATTTAGTATTTAAAATATATAAATAACCTTTATTATTTATGTGCCAATTTTTAGGTATGTGAGAGTGGCAAAAAATTTATAGCCAATCTGGCACAGTAGAATCAAAAATAAATCATTTCTGGCTCAGGTTTTATGATGCAAACTCTTACAGTACACTACTTTCAAAATAAACTTCTATTGCTTATGTCCATGTGAGATAGTAAAAGAGTGTTTTTGATTTATAGTTGCAGGTAACCCCCGTATAATACGGGAGTTATGTTTCAAAAAATTTCTTTGTTATTCGAGTCCGTGTTATACGAAACAAAGAACTAATGTTTAAAAGGGGGTTAGGTTCCAAAAATTAAAAAACATGCTGTTAAATCATTATTTAAATCGGATTTATTATTCATTTTTTATGGGTAAAATACTTATTTATTATTTAAGTAAATATTTTACCAGAGGATTAGTCATTCTATATGATGATCTCAGCATGAGCATCATCAACTTGTAACAGTTTTTGAAATTGTATTTAGTATTTAAAATATATAAATAAGCTTTATTATTTATGTGCCAATTTTTAAGTATGGGAGAGTGGCAAAAAATTTAGAGCCAGTCTGGCACAGTAGAATCAAAATTAAATCATCATCATCTCTTAATAGCAGTCGCTCTGTGTCTCCGCTACAACGGGAGTGCACTGCTGTTTGTAGGCATGTAGGAACGATGGTGAAAGAAAGAAAGATGGCAGCGCCCGTACTATTGATAGTATTGAGATGGAAGAATCTATAATTTTAAAATATGAGCTTTTAGAGGCAAAAGAAGGGTTCCAATTGTAAAATTTATTTATTAAATGGATTATTTGTTGAAAGAGCATTCAAAGTAGCAACGAAAAAAATTAGAATGCTCGCGCGGAGGTATAAAAGAACGCACCCTTTATTACATTTCATGTTGAACAAGGGTTTTACCCAATTTTCAAACCGTGTTATAGTGAATACGTGCTATAAAAACACNTGATGTAGTTAACTAAGTAAGGTTATATCTAAATCTAATATACTTCTGGAAGCGAAGACTCGCTCGGGGTCCGGGTGGCGTAACTGGCAAGCGCACCGCACGGCAAGCGGAGGTTGCCCCTCCACGTTTTCAGAAGCATTGAGGGTAGCATCAAGGAGGAGACAATCGAGCAGTTGACTGGGAAAAATAGGAATTTTGTTGCGGGCGTAGAAGAAACGAGGGACAATCGCGCTGCAAAAAGGGAAAACAAAAACTAGAACCCGCACTTGACGCGAAAATACAACAATCAGCTATTTTGCCTGATGATTAATTTGTCATTATTTTGATAAGATAAATTTATCAATGTTAAATGACTTAATATTAGTTAATTTCTCATTTGTTACATATACAGTTCAATAAACAAGCATTCAGTTATTGTTAAAAAGAACAACCAATTATTAATTAATGGCTGGAGTTGAGGATTTCGATTTGTCCACAATGGGCCATATTTGTTTGTCTGGTTTATGGGTTTTTGCATAGCCAAATAGCCTCGGTATATCAGGTGATTGGTTCGTAGCATTCGGGCATGCTACAATACAATCACTAGTCCAGCAGTCATTTGTCATATTACTAAAATATTGGGTCTTGTCAGGGTTAAGTAATGGCTAACTGAGTGCCATAGTATTGCATTATTGGACATGAGTGCTTATGGCATCCCCAGGTAGTGCTGTATGTAACCAAGGATGGTTATATCTAACAAGGGGACCTTACAGTCTTGGAAATTCAGTTCAGGATGAGACTGCAGGTTAGTAGTATACCTGAAGGGTGTCCACCCAGAAGAATTGCAAAGCGCACTAGCCAGAAGATTCGAGAAAAGGGGGCTATAAAGTTTTAAGCTCGCCTCATATACTGGTCGATTTTACATTATGGCAACATACCTAAATGACTGAGTCTGTAGCGAACGCGCCCGCCATGCGGGCGATCTATGTTTGATCCTACGTTAGGTTAACTTTTTATTAAAATTGTTTTTAAAAAATTATAACAACTTTTAAATAAATTTAATGACCTAAAAATATTATCAATTAAATTATAAATAATAATCAACAGCTAGGCTCTACTCTTCCATACAGAAACCTGTTCCTCAAATTTACAACGAATATTTTTAACCTTTTCACAGCTTATATTATCTTAAAATTTGTAATAACTTTTTAATGACAATAGTAATTAAAGTTTTAATTTACCTCCATTAAAAATGCATTTCAAATTATTCAACTTTTTAAAAATAAAATATTATCTTTATATTGTTAATTTACATTTTAATTAGCTGAACAGTCATTTCATAAACAAAATAAAATTATTTCTGATTTAATTGATAATATTTTTAGATCATTAATTTTATTCAAAAGTTATAATTTCCAAAACCAATTAAAAAAAAAAAAGAATTAGCTGAAGATAAGAACAAATCTACATCGCACGCGTGGCAAGTGAGTTTGCTACAGACTCAGCCATTTCTCTGTTCTGCCATAGTGTAAAATCACCAGTATATGAGCTGCGCTTAAAACTTTAGAGCCCTTTTTCTCGGAATCTTCTTTCTAGTGCGCTTCACAATTCTTCTGGGTGGACACCTTTGAGTTATACTATTAACCTGCAAAGTCTCATCCCAAACTGAATTTCTGAGACCATAAGGTCCCCTTGTAAATTAAATACATCTGGAAGCAAGGATTGGGCAGAGGTCTGGGTATCATAACTGGCAACGAATTCTTGTAGTAAGTGGAAGTTCGGTTTTCGAGTCTCTCTCCGGGTCAATTCTTTTTCCAGAATATTTTAAATTGTTTCTTTGATCAAGTTGCCAAAGATTTTTGCTTTAAGTGGTAATTATTGAGGAAAATATACAGTAATGGGTCAATTATCTGGCATTTAGAAATCCAGAATTATCATAAACCAACTAGTTTTGAATTTGATGGACTATAGCACAGCTGTAGTTGCCACATGGCTGCTTTATTTTGGATTCTGTGGTATATGTCAGACAATGCTAGTTCCAATATATTCTTTATTTTATTTGTTTTTAATTTTTATCCTAAATATTACACTATACATGGTATTCTACATTTTAAGAGAATTAATAATGATCATACAGACCATCCTTCAGAAATGTATTAATTTGTATATGCTAAATATATTTTGCTTCTTAACTTTTGAAGTATAATTTTCATTCCAGGTAGATACTTATGATGCTGGTGGAAAAAGAACATGTTATTTTCCTGATGATGATAAATATTCCTTAAAACAAATGGTAAATAAATATATTTTTAGGAAACTTGTTAAATACAGTAGCATTTTAAAATTTAAATGATATATTTATTTCTGTAAATCTTTCATACTATTTTAATTGTTTACTGATTATTATATAATAATTACTTTTTAATGAACCTATAAATATTTTTAAAAATTTCTAGTTTGAAAAAGAAAGGAAGACAACTATTGATGATCAAAATTCTGAATTTGCACGATTATTTGCAAAGGTAATTGTAATGTATCATTATTATTTCTTTTTTGAAATCCATGCAAAATATATGCAATACAAACTACAGTAGACCCTTCTATAACACTGTAGATAACTTTGTGTTATATGAATTCCATGTTGTACGAGTTACTTAGATTTTACAAATATGTGAGCCGTTCACAGCCCGGCACATGTATTTGAGAAATCTAAGTGACTTGTACAACATGGAATTCATATAACATGGAATTATCTACAGTGTTATAGGGGGATTTACTGTATTACAGGAATTTATTGCATTACATCAGAGCTTTTAAAATTTTACTATTTGTAACCTTATTTTACCTGAGAAAATTTTACATAACTCCTGGTATATAGGTATATAAAATAGGCATACAAATAAAATCACATACTGATGATAAATCATAAAACAGTTTTTTTATATACAAATTATTTTACTATTTATTAAAGACAAAAGCAAATTTGCATTCTAATGAGATGAATGTGCATGTTTATTTTTACATATGAAAGCTAAATCTTGACTGAATAATTGATACTGTGGGATGCAAGGCATCTTCAGCATTCTGCAGAATTTACTGACTTTTAACCACAAAACACAACTATTTATCATGCTGTGAATGTTTATTATTCTAGCATTTTCAATCTTCTTAATTAATTAATCAACCTTTAGGAGCTCTCTAAATAAATCGAAAGATGTGGTTGTAATGGCATGTTCACATATATGCCCTGAATTAGTAATGTAGCCTGAGCCTTGGATAGTGAAGATTGTCACCAATGTTGAACAAGCAATAGAAGGGTTAAGCAACATAAATAAGCAGTTTTTTCTAATGGAAGACGTTTAAACTGAGGATTGATCCCATGATGTCTACCCACAGCTCAATATGGAAGTCTGGGATAGCAAGAGAGGTATGGCAGAAAATAATGTAGTGCTAGTATGGGAGTACAAATCAAAAGATATGGTTATAATGGCACAATTCACACATAATGAGCTTGTAACAGAATACATCGAGATACAATGCACAGCGTGCCATCTGCATACTGTTGACCAGTTACAAGCAAAGGTCAAGAGATTTGCCACCATGACCTTAGTGAGAAAACTTAGGATAGAGAAAATAGTAGTTGCCTTTCTCTTAATACCAAGATTATTCAGATTTGCAAAAAGTGACAAACCTAGGAAAAGCATAAGACCAGTTATAGTAATGTGTTGTTCATCCACAATCCTGTTGGGACACATGCTCAATAGATTTGTCAGCAGGAATTTGTCAGTGCATGAATACCACATAAAGCAGTTGCTAGATCTAATCCAGAAGCTATAGAGTTTAGAGCTGAGAGATGAGTTTATTATGGTTATGGATTTCAAAACACTGTACTCCTCTATCAAGCTGGAACCACGTTTTGCCATTTGAGAGATTTGCCAATGAACAAAATCAGCAATTCGGACAGCTTGTGTAGACAATGTTGCTCTGTATGTGTGTTATATAGACAATGTATTATTAATGTGGAGGAAGAAACCTAATATCAGGCAATTTGTCAAAGATATTAATTCTAACCCATTTGGCTTGAAGACAGAATTGGAGCATGAAAGTGATGGTGGTGGCACTTCCTCAACATCTCGTTCACGTTAAAGGGGTCATCACAGATATTTACAGGAGGCTGACTTACAACCCAATATTTATAACCTGAGCTACATATCCCAGTGAGCTATATGTTTGTGGCTCTTATAAAACAAGCATATACACATTGCACTAACATACAGGACAGGATAAGAGAGTTAAAGTACATCAAAGCAATTGTGTGTGAAACATAAAATGATAAAAGGAATGACTAACAAATGGAGGGCAAAAGTTAGGAGGACAAGAAAATGCGACGAACAGGATGGATATGCAGTCGTGGAATACATGACACCCCTCTGCAATGTCTGCAGAGAATTAGGATTGTTACTAGCAGGAAAACTGTATTTAAAAGTAATCACGTGTACCTTTTTGAATATAGTTAAAAGGTATATACAAAATGCTATGAATGACAAAGTGGCTATTGACCTGATGTGCATCACTGGAAAGACCAGTAAAAGAAAGCAGGTAGCATAATGACTTACACTAAATAAGAGCCACTAGACAGGATAAAATAGCATAAAGATAACATCTAGAAGGAACAGCCAGTTACAGTCTTAGTGATCTATACCAGTGTTTTTCAACCTGTGGATCACGACCTCCCGGGGGTCGCAAAGTTTTACACGGGGGGTCGTGGGTAAAAGAAAAAGACAAGTGTTTGTAGGTTCTACACTACAATAAATAAAACTACAATTTCAGTGAGAAGGCTTTGCGTTTTTATTTTAAAGTACAATTGGTTTTTCCAGTGGCGTACCGTGAGTGTTAGCCACCCGGAACAGAGGAAAATTTCAGCTTCCCCTTATTTAGGTATTTCAATTTAAAAGACCAAAATTCAGATTTTGTCACAGAACAAGCAATGAAAAATTCGGTGGTAGTGCAGCGACCTGTTTAAAGTAGTTTTATTGGGTATTAGTGGTGTATATGAACGCCAATGAATCGTACAAGAAAAAAAACAAAAAAAAAAAAAAAAAAAAGGTTAACAGGTTTCGCAGGATTAAAAATTACTAGTTCACCTAGCCGGCGAGCCGATTCCCGGACTGTCCAGACAATAGCACTATCATAGGCGCGATGCAAGTATAGGTTGGGATGTTTCAAATTTTTACAAGATATTATTATTATTTATTGTGCAATTTTGCCGACCCTAAAAAGTGCTGCCCGGGGCAGGTCGCCCCTGCCGCCCCCACTACGGTACTCCACGGTTTTTTGATCGATATTTAGGTCTGAACAGAAAGAAAATTAAATACTTAGTTTTTAAAATCACTGACATAGTTTTGATATGGCCCTGGGGGTCGCCAAAATTTTTTTAACTTGTAAAGGGATCGCGTATTCAAGAAGGTTGAAAAACACTGATCTATACAATAACAGATCCAGATTCTGTAGCAGTAGACTGGAATCAAACAGAAATAATCCAAAAGTTTTTGTAGTGATGTATTAAATATGTGGAAGCACGGCACATTCATAAGCTTAACAGAGAGGGGCAGGCAGTAAATTATAGAGAAAACGCTGATTTCAGCTGCCTGGAAAGTGTTACTTGATGTAAAATTTATAAAGAATAAATTAGAATGCACATGGCATGTGCATCTTTAAAATTTGTCTTGTTCTAAAAACAAAACATAAACCATTATATAATAAGTGATATTGTTTTTTTTTTAAATTGTAAAATTTGGATGACTCCTGAAGAAAGTTGATTTAGAAGACCAAAAACATTAGAATAATACAGTGTTACCTCTGGATACAAAATTAATCCATTCCGAAACTGAGATCGTATCATGAAAATGTTGTAAGGTGAATCATTTTTCCCCATACAAATAATCTGTTCCAACACGAAAAACACACACAAATTAAAGCTAAGTAGTACATTAAAAAAATAACTATAGTAAGGAAAACACTTAAAAATGTGTTTTGTAGTTTTAAATGTATAAATAACCATAATAGAATAATAATTTATTAAAAAAAAAAAAAAGTTTTATTTGCACTTTACCTTTGAGGATAGATGACGATGGAGGCGTAAACTGGTGGCAGAAGGTAGGGAGAAGGGAAATGTTACTAAAACTTAACTTACATAACATAAGTTATTTTTAAGTTATTGTTACATTAACACTAATTTTTTTTTACCTTTTCTGTTTTATATATATTTTTAAATTTTTTATTCACTGCTTTTTGCTTTCTTTCCTTCACTTCCACCAGCACTTTCACTGGATAGAGATTGCTTGGTAAAATATCTATCCAAAGAGATTTGGCTTTGCCTACTTTTTAAAATGTTTCTAAAATGACTCAGGCAAATGTCATTACTTTGAGCAGCAATACGGCCAGTGTGAACGTTTTCGGGATGTTTCTTTTCAATAAAATCAGTCACTTTCTGATAATACCTCAAGGTTTCCTTTATTGAGTGAGATTCTTCCATTGTGAAGCAAACACGCGGACTGAGACCGATGAACAGAAGTGAATAAAAAATGGCACTGCGAACTAATGTAATGTCGTATGGTGAGGTTTTGTTCTTATCGTGGAGCAAAAATATGTTCGAATTTCATGTCGATCCTGAAAATTTCATATCCTGAGGTACCACTGTAAATGTTTACTGCATGATAAATGGTTGTGTATTGTGGTTAATGCTAGTTTAGTTACTGAAGGGATGACTGACATTTTGATTTTATAATTGTCGATGCTGAAAACCACACTTCACATAATACAAAATTTTATTGTTGTCAAATTCTTTACACTCCATAGTTTAAGAAGGCCTGATCTACATAAATTTTAATGTTAATTAAATCACTTTTACATTCTGTTATTTTTGCAACATTCATATCTTTTGTGAAATAGTGACAGCTGTCATATACATTAATTCATTGTGACAATACAGAACTTGTGAGAAGTTTGGTGATGCTGATACTAATGCTGTGAACAGACCATGCTCATCTGACCAAGTCTGACTTGCATTACAGTATTGTCAAACTCCTCACAGTATTCTTGAATTCTTCATTTGATCACCCGGTATATGGTATATTAATACATTTGCAACTTCATGATTTATGGAAATTGATGATATTTTTACCAGGAAAATCCAATTTTTAATCACATCTAGAATATAGTTTAAAAATTATGTTAATATTATTTTATAAATAGCATTTTAAATCAAAATTTGTTGTTGTTATTAATATATACTATAAAATGCTTAAAATATAGTTTTCTTTAGTTGATTTACAGAAATTTAATTATTACATGTAATTCAATATACAGTAGTACACTTTCATTAATATAAAGTGATTATTGTACAAGATTTTTCAATTATATAAAAGTTTTAATTAGGGGAATTATGTATAAAGAAAAGTCAAAAGGCTATTACAGGAAACATGTATTTAAAAATTTGTTTTTAAGTATAGGGTGGTTTAAAAAGAATGTTGCTGTTTTAAATAGTTGTAATTATGTTAATTATTATCCAAGAATGATGGAATGTATATTAAAACATTGAGAAATTGTCCAAGATTCACATTTTCCCATTACAATTTCTCAATGTGTCTGTATTATGTTACATGGCACACATTCATTCGATACTCATATTCTTCCTATGCTCACTATAGGAAGAATATGAATATGGCTATGCTCACTGTAGTCACTCCTCCCACAACAGCCAAAATTGTGCAGTTCATGCAAACACTCATTTCACACAATGATGGGTGATTCTGACTTTGCAGACTGCAGAACATATTACCTTCTTTTTCAGATTTAATTGACATAATTATAGTAATTTAAAATAGTAGCATTCATTTTGGAAGACTATATATACATATGTCAACTGTGTTAANTTTGTTATTTTTTCAACGTTCATATCTTTTGTGAAATAGTGACAGCTGTCATATACATTTATTCATTGTGAAAGTACAGAACTTGTGAGAAGTTTGGTGATGCTGACACTGTAATGCTGTGAACAGACCATGCTCATCTGACCAAGTCTGACTTGCATTATTGTCAAACTCCTCACAGTATTCCTGAATTCTTCATTTGATCACCTGGTATATGGTATATTAATTAATACATTTGCAACTTCATGATTTATGGAAATTGATGATATTTTTACCAGGAAAATCCAATTTTTAATCACATCTAGAATATAGTTTAAAAATTATTAATATTAAAAAATTAATATTATTTTATAAATAGCGTTTTAAATTGAAATTTGTTGTTTTTACTAATATATACTATAAAATGCTTAAAATATAGTTTTCTTTAGTTGATTTACAGAAATTTAATTATTACACATAATTCAATATACAGTAGTACACTTTCATTAATATAAAGTGATTATTGTACAAGATTTTTCAATTATATAAAAGTTTTAATTAGGGGAATTATGTATAAAGAAAAGTCAAAAGGCTATTACAGGAAACATGTATTTAAAAATTTGTTTTTAAGTATAGGGTGGTTTAAAAAGAATGTTGCTGTTTTAAATAGTTGTAATTATGTTAATTATTATCCAAGAATGATGGAATGTATATTAAAACATTGAGAAATTGTCCAAGATTCACATTTTCCCATTACAATTTCTCAATGTGTCTGTATTATGTTACATGGCACACATTCATTCGATACTCATATTCTTCCTATGCTCACTATAGGAAGAATATGAATATGGCTATGCTCACTGTAGTCACTCCTCCCACAACAGCCAAAATTGTGCAGTTCATGCAAACACTCATTTCACACAATGATGGGTGATTCTGACTTTGCAGACTGCAGAACATATTACCTTCTTTTTCAGATTTAATTGACATAATTATAGTAATTTAAAATAGTAGCATTCATTTTGGAAGACTATATATACATATGTCAACTGTGTTAAAATGTGTAGCTTGTATTAATTTTAAAACTTATTCATTTTTTGTAAGGAAACTGTTAAACACTTGAAATCTAATAAGACTATATCATAAATTTTTTCTTTAAAATCATATTTTATGTCTGGGTTTGCTTGTAAGTGCATAACAGCACTTACAAGCAAACCCAGACAATCTGTTACTAGGAATGGTTGTTGTTGTTTTTAATCTATTCTAGTTTTAACAAAACAAAGCTTATTAAATTGTAGCAGAAATGTCTTGAAAAATGTCATAAAAATTTGTTTTTATTTTATATGAGATGCTGCATATTTTAAGTAAATTAATTTATTATAAATTACAAACAATTTAAAATCATATAAAATTTATTATTAATTCAATAAAGAAAGTAGAAAAAGAATGAAACTGGTTTGGATTAAATAAAATACAGACTAATGCAGATTGAAATTAGCAAGTGTTCATTGCATTGCAATTCTTTTCAAATTTCTTAAATGTTACTTTTACACTCATTGCCATAAAAATTAGTGCACCAAGAAGGAATTATCTGAATCAAATGAAATTGTACATGTATGAGAGTAACAGTGATGTAAGTGATTAAAAAATGAAAGCAAAAGGATAATTTATTGCAAGAAAAACTACAAATGAGAGAAGGTTCTAGTAGTCTGTTGGGCCATCTGTAGCATGAATACACAATTTAATACGGGCAGACATGGAGGCATACAAGCCATGTGGTGTCCTGCAACATCTTGGTCCACAGTTGTTGCAAATAGTCCGTTAGTTTGGCCAAACTTCTAGGCTGTCCAACTTGGTATCCCAGGTGATCCCAGATATTTGATTGGTGAGAAATTGGACTGGGCAGGCCAGGGAAGTGTGAGAATGTGGCGGACGTAGTCCTATGACACTCTTGCTGTGTGTGGTCGAGTATTGTCCTGTTGGAAAATGGTTCTCGGGAGCCCTGCCACGAAAAGCAACACCTGGTTGCAGGATGTCACTAACATACTGCTGGGCTGTGATGGCACCTCAGATTATCATGTCAGCTGTGGGGTGGTGTACCACTCCAAAGTGTAGGCAGGATTGAGGCATTTTCTATGAGGCCTGCAGGACACAAACACGGCCATCATCAGTGCCCAACTGAATCTAGAATCATCATGACCTGGTTCCATTCCATTGCAGTCTAATCCCATCAGGAGTGATATTACTCCAAACAGAGGCGATAGTGGGCAGTGTCAACAGCAGCACATGTAATGGTTGTTGTGATGCCAAATGTTTCTCGCCCAGGTACAGACAGACAAAGGGACCTGTAATGATGGTCCCACCTGTGTTCAGATAGTAGACAATGATGCAGTTGGCTGTGTGCGTGCTTGTCAGAGGACCAGGCGGTCCTCTCAGCAAGTGATCTGCCGAGACCACCCTGAGTCTGGGTGCCATGTGTATGAGCTCTCTCTCATCCACTTGTCCCAACATTTCAGTGTTGTCAGAATGGCCTAGGTGGCAGGATATTTGGCAAGATGACCATATTGTTTCTCTCAACCTGATGATCCTTTCCCTCTCAAACTCAGTTAGTTGTTTATATGATCTTTGTGTGCAATGTAAAGGCATCTCTAGTGATACAACAGGTAAACTACAGACAGGATGTCTTTGTGTGCATTTTTTAGGCCAAGGGGACACAGTTTAACTCCCTCTGCTGGCATTACACAATGGGCCATCATGCTATAACTCTAATCATTTCCATATCTGCTTGACACTTATCTTCATGCCAAATTTCACAGTGATACAACTCCTCCTTGGTGTGCTAATTTTTATGGCAATGAGTGTACTTGAGAACTTTTCTTTTTCAATGCTGTGAATTGTAGCATTACTGTATAATATTTTTATAAATTTCATTATTATATTGGATGAAAAGTTGGCTTAAATGTTATAAAAATATAAATTTTATAATGAAAATTTTGGATTTAACCATTGTAATTATGGTAAAATCTGCTGATTGTAATTATGGATATCGTTATCTGTTGTTTAATGTTATCAAAATTAGCAAGTTCCAAAAAATATGCTATATAAGAATTTATTTATTGTGATGAGTATTTGTTATTATCATCAGTATCTTTGGGTAAATAAGCATCTTTAAGATATTTTCTCACTGTCAGTCTCAACATATGGCTAATAATGTACTGTACAATCATTCAGTTATTGTTATGTTTTAACCAGTGTGCTAAATGAGCATTGTAATTGTTGTGTGTTCATAACATAGTAGTTTAAGCTTCTGACATTTTTTCAATTATATACTAGTTGTTATTAAATACTACAGCAAGCATATAATGCTATATGAATTATATATTAATTATAATAATTAATAGATCTTAGTTTTAAATTTTCTATGGAAATCACTTTTACAAAATACAACATAAAAATTTTAGGTATTGATAGCCAATATTATTATCAGAAATTACTTTTAATACACATATTTATCATTAAACTTTTTATGTTTTGATTAGCAATCTAAGAACGATGACGATGAATCCTTCTTGGTCGAAGCAGCCAAAATAAAGCCACAGATAAAACAAGAATATCGCAACAGAAGCCAAGCGATACATGGTAAATTATACTTAAATCTCTAACTGCATTATTAATTAATACCTTCCACTATACCTTTAACATGCCTGGCACATTTATAAATACAGAGAAACGGGGCTAAATATAAATTTTCGAGAGTCAAATAGAATAGCAATGGCATGGAAAGCGGCGGAATTATAAAGAGAAAATGGGCATGCGCGATAGAACTTTGGAAGATTGTAGAACGTGCGTTGTTGGAATTACCATTGGGAAAGTTCAATTTTTTAAATTTTTACATCAATCCTGAAGAAGGTCTATGAATTAGACCGAAAACGTTAGATAACTATCAAAAGTAGACTGCATGTTAAAGGTATAGCGGAAGGTAAATTATACTTACATATAATTTGAAACTGAATAATGTAAATGTTTTATTAAGATAAAATTCTTTATTTAGGAAATCTTTGATTTATTAAATTCATTTTTGAAAAAGATATGTTCACAGTGGCCAAGTGGATGAAATCACTGGACACTGGTCATGAGTTTGCAGTGTGCCAGTGGGCTGGTCATTTGGAGTTTTCTGGGTTTGTAACACCTAAATAAGTGTGAGGAACCGAGGTTAATGCTTTAACCCTTTGCCGGCAACTGTTTGGCAAAAATCACTCACATTGTCTGTGGATGGCATTTTTTGCTTTGGGTATTTTGTGCTTTGATACCTGAGTAACAGACACCATTAACAAACTTAATGTGATCTTTCGGGTCGGCACTTCTTTGGTGCCTTGTCAGGATTGACACCACCATGTTTATCGGAACACGGAAACCAAGACGGCGATTACGTCACACCGTCGCGCGAGCGGTCTTGTAAGTGGACAGACGGATTCGTAATGTCGGATCGAGAGACAACATAAGGAAGTGACTCGCACTACAATTCAACCGTAACAAAGATTTAATTTTAAAAAATGTTTATTAGGTACGATACAGAGTTCTAAGGTTATGTCGTGGAGAGAGAGAGTTTACAGAATGAGCGCGAGTTGTATAATTACCTGGGGATAATATGGCTGTGCTCGGAGACAAAAATTTGGTTGATAATTGTCCGATGAGCGTTGAGACTTGGTCCGATGATGATTAGGTTTGCGATAATATCCACAGCACAATGATGGCACAAAGTATCCAAAAAAAGATGGCCACTGATTGATGATATTCCGCTATCCGAGATATTGGATGATATTGGGATTAAACGGTGTGGGTTTTCTGTGTCGGAAGGACGGACGACGACTTCTTTCTTCTCCAAGGACCAAAACGACGACTGCGACTGCAACTTTTCGGCTGTCTCTCGGCTATATTCACGGACGATTTTCAGCCGTACAGAGGTTAATAGTTCACGAGAAAGCGTTATGTTGCCTTCGAGAAAATGTAACAAGAGACTTTCTCAGGTAGCTAAAGACAACAATTGTTGCATAACTCACGAAATGTTAATATTAAAGACTAGGTCTGATATAGGAATTTCTGCTATCTCACATTAATAAGAATAAAATTTTAATGAATAACTAAAATCTAAACTAAGGTTACAGGAGTTTGGGTATAATAATGAGTAAATAGTCACATATAAAGGGGAGAGCTTATTTTATTTACTAAAATTCACTGATAACATATTACGGAGCCGAGAGAGAGTTTACAAAAGTAGGTGAAGCATCCTATCTCTTTTCCTTTTTCATGATCAAGGTTCGGTCAGTGGTGATCTTCTTGGGATGATCTGATTGGAGAGAGGTTGTTCCCAATTGATGATTGCCCCAAAGTTGGGGTGTGTTGTCCATATTCTCTTTTTGCCTGGGATCAGGTGATCGAATGTTTTTGGAGACGAAGGTTGGTTTTGCAGGTGTTGGGTCATAGGTAGCCCGGGAAAACAATAAGATGTCGTCTAAATGGGGCAAATAGTGTAATATTTGGTTTGTGAAATGTTAGATTCATTCTGTTTATTTGGTTGAATGTTGACATTTTCATTTTTTAACAATAGATTGTTATAATTTCTTAACAGTTGTTGATGAGAAGGGTGACATTCAATCCTTTTTCTGTGTGATGTTTTCTTAATGATTGAGATGGAGAAAAGGGTTAAAAAATTCTTTAAATTGGAGAAAAATCGGGCTCTTGATCTCACATAAGGATCTGTTTCCCACAGAAAGTTCTCCTGGGAGGCATTCCCCTTGGCAGATCTCGTGTTGCGTTGCCATAAACAAATAAAATAATTGGAAAGCTATAAAGAACACTAGCTTACCCGTCGCGCATTGCTGCGATCTCAGAAGAAAGGAAATTCAAGCAAACTCGTTATGATAAATTTCAATTTACATTATATCATTTTTATTGAAACTTATTATTATTAATTTTCATCGGGAAAACATTTCAAAGTGTCGTTTCAATTCTATTTATTTATTGGAGTGCTTGTGGATACGCGATAGTTTTTGTTTTTCTGTCTGGAATAAATCAGGTTTACCAACGTGCGAGCTGGCCACATACAGTTGTCCATGCGAGAAGCACAGATTCTCCAAACTTAGCCCACACACTCGCAACGATTGTCAGAAGTGCGATATTCCCCATTTTTATATATATATTTTTAATCCTTTACAATTTTAATTATTTAATTGCTCCTTCCTCTCGTCCTTGGTGTGTTGTGAAATTTCTGATAGTTGGATAATAAACCGTTTTATTGTAATTTGTCTTTTTAAATTATTTTGAGTTGATATTAAAATTTGGAAAAGGGGATCCCTAGGTCGGTAAAATTTCCTCTTAAAACTTCGGTTGTTGTTTGGGATACAGTTAAGGTTTTAACAAAGTTCGAGCGAATACATAATTAGCAAAAAAAAAAAAGCCGAAATAAAGTGATTAAACAAAAATTATTACAAATATCGTAAATAACAGTTCACAAATGCATATATAGAGATATTTTTTGGAGGAGGGAAATGATGTTCACAATTTGAAATCGATCGAACACAGTGAAATGCTTGTATAAACGTGTGCCATCTCTAGGTTAAATGTACTATGCCTGAGTATATTAAAAAATTTCCCAAAGTTTTATGGCAATCGTACTATGCCACAAACCTTCGCAGGATTATATTAAACAACTTCCCAAAGTTTCATGGCAATCGGATAAACGGTGTGGTAATGCATGAAGGACACACACACACATACATTCATTTATATATATATAGATTTATGAATTAAAAATAATAATAAATACCCATTAAAGTTTTTATTGCAAATTTATTCAAATGTACTACAACAGATTAATTTATTGATAGACAATTCCACATATACTATTTTATACCAGACAATAAAGTTTATTAGTTTATTGCTTCATGAGAATAATAAATTCTGAATTGTTTGTCAATTTTTGAACATATTGATGCTAAAAAAAAAAAGTATCTGAATAGTGTTCCGCAACCTCAGAAGGGTTGAGAACTACAAATGTATAGCATCAAAAATTGTGTTGTACATAAAATCAGAATAGTTTTTTTGTATGTTTAATACAATAAGTTTATTTGCTGGAATTTATTTGGTACTTATGGGTTAAGAGGATGCCAGTCGAAAGGAAACAGTGGGGACGCACGTTCTAACCTAACCTAAACCTATTCTAATAATTTGGTTGGTAATAATTATGTTAATTTATTAGAATAGGTTTAGGTTAGGTTAGGTTAGGTTAGGTTAGACTGTGCATCCCCACTGTTTCCTTTCTTTCGTTTGCTGGAATCAGAGATGAGCCGCCATGACAGTCTATATATCTAGACTTTAACCTTAAAATGTAAGCATATTTTGAAATTCGTTATTTATTTAAAAAAGTTAATAACGAAAGTTTGAAAATTGTATTATATTAATTTCGAAAAATAAATGAATGCATTAATTGGAAAAAACGACATTTCCGACTGGTGTCCTCTTAACCCATAAGTACCATTTATTTTAAATTGCATTTCTTTTATTTTTGTATGAAGTCATATATTTAAAATAATATAATTTTTAATTATTTACAGAACACATGAGAAGATCTTCAGCTCTGAAGAAGTGTCAGTTCTGTTTAGACAGTTCCCATATGAAGAAACATTTAATTGTTTCCCTTGGAAAAACTGTAAGTAGTTGAATATTTGTAAAGCAATTGAATTAAACTGTTGTGTAAAATTAATTTGTTAATTAAAACAGTTTCAAAAATAATATCTATTAGTTTAAAATTTTGTTAAATATCTGGAAATATTTTATATTATCAGTTAATTATTAATTTATAATTTAGTTTTGATGCAAAGGTCAATCCAAACTTTTATTAGATTTGAAAATTTTTGGAAATTATTACTAATATAAGAACCATTGTTTGTGTGTCTCTCTCTCTCTCTCTCTCGTGCGTATGTCTGTCTGTGTGAGTGAGTGTGAATGTGAATTCGTTTTAACTCCTGTAATTTTTTTCCAATCCAGATGAATTTTTGGTTGTATTCATTTCTGACTGAAAGTATAGGCTATATATTTTGCAGAAATATTAGCTATAGACTAAGCATTTTATCAATTTTGGATTGATGCACACTTATGTTGCAGTGACGTCAGCGATCTCATTTAGTTCAGGCTTGATGAGGGAATTTCCCTTAAGTTGCATTTTTAAATATTTTGGTAAATGGCATGTTTTAAACTAACTACATTAAATTTAAACTTTAAAAAAAGATAGCCACATTGTGTCACTTCTATAATAAATTTTTTTTTAATCTTTTCATCAGGTGATGATCTATTATTTAATCAGAAGTAATTATTTAATGAGTCTGTTATTTAGAAACTGTTATTGCTTATCTAACTAAGTACATACAATTCATCTTTGTTTTATCAACATGGAATTAAAAATTTTTTTTTTGACAAAATAGCAAAAAGCCTAGAGGAAGTGTAAGAGTAAAATTGGTCAGGTAAATTCTAGATCTGAAAGAATAAGAACAACCGAGGCACCTTAAGGCTGTGAAGTCTGACTTGAGCAACATTGACTAAGAATGGCTTTCTCAATGATTGCAAAAACAGCATTATATCAATCATCAAAACAATATTCAGGTGTCTATTACTAAAGGAAGACGGCAAGGAAATCTTTTAAAAGACAATAGAGTTGTGAGAAGCCAGGGGATAGTGTGTCAAGCTCTAAATCCCTGTGATCGGCAACAGATCCGTGAGATCACTCACAGTGTCACTGGATGGCGTTCTTATGTTAATTTCTAGTTCAAGTGGGAGTGTTAGTGAGGTCATCGATAAGATGTTTGCAATACTAGAGAAAGATCAACCATTGATAAAAATTCAACACAAGTTTAATAAAGCTAAGACATTACAAATACAAATCTGGGGAATTGTATTCCTTGCATCTAATCTAGTACAAATACTTAGAGTGAGTTACCGTTATTCCTATCAATAGCTATTTCTGACCGAGAAAGAGAGAGCATACATAGGATTGGTTATTTTGCATACCTCTGGGCAGCAGGGAATGTAACCTCGTAGGCTAATTATTCAGAGAGGACCGGAGAGATACTTGGGACGATATATACTCCTTTTACAATGTTATAGATAAATCTATAGGAACTTCTTTGCATTGAAGGGTACGTCACAAAGTAAAAAGTCAGATTCTTGTAGAACGATCGCTTCGACGAATGGGTGTCTGATCGTTATATCCCCATCTGGTGTAGGAATTTGGTCAGGTGATCATACCTGGAGAATAAAAATTAAACGAAGTCAATTCCCAGGTTTAGTATTTCCTTCAATTGTTTTTAGATTTTCCCTGTGGACTAGGTTAATTGTGAAGTGTGAGAAAATTGATTGTTTTAACAAATTTTCATTATTTTCATGGGTCGATGTGAGGGGAGAGGACTTGTTGGTTCAAATCGTCGACTGTTGACAGTCAGGTCAACATTTGATATATTCTTTCCAATTTTAACTCTGTGGGAAATGGACAAAGATAAAGAAGACTTTCTAAAATGCATCTTTTTTTTAAAAATTATAGAAAGACAGCTCCTGGATTCTTGGTGTATTTACTCGGAATGTAGTGTATAAAGAAATTTTATAAAGAAAGATATTAATATTATTTAATATAAAAGCCCAAATCTGTTCACATGTATGCAAGTGAATTCTCTGTAACTCCTATTATTTTTATCTACTCAAGGTGAAATTTTGTTGTTGTTGTTTTTGTTACAACAGTAGTATAAACTGCTTAATGGATTTCAGTTGCTAATATTTCTACAAATTAAGAGATACTTTTAGACTTGAAAATATCATCAAAAATTTCTTGAAATCTGTACTCTTTTCAATTTTTTAATCTTTACTTTCTCATAAAAAGTATTTTATCATACTTTATGGAGAATTTTAAGTTAATAAATTATTAGTATTTTTTGATTTTAATATATTAATCGAAAATATAATTATATCTGTAAATGTTGTTAAAATTTTAGAGTTATATATATGTTGTGTGTGATTTTTTTCCCAATATAACTTACTACAAAAGTTAGTTTAGCAAAAATACATTATTAAAGATAACAAATATTGTCAGTTTCATATATTCCATTCCAATTTCAAATTTCTGGAATAAACAAAAATTATTCTGCAATTTGTTCTATTTTTTCGTGTAAAGATAAAACTATATTTGTTTTTAATTAATTTTTATTGAAACACTGTAATTATTGATTAAAAGTTTTTTTAGTCATTTATTATATGATTAAAAGGAAAAACTTTTAGGTAATTTTAAAAAATTTGCTTTAAAATCTGAACACTGTTTTCTTATATAGAGATATTTATTTCAATATAATAATATCTTTACCAAATATTAGAGTAAATATAAGTGATTTATTTTTGTTAAGATATTTAATTAACAAAACTCATTAATACATGCATAAATATACAATTATAGGTGTACTTATCATTGCCCAGTTGCCAATCGTTAGTTGATTATCATTGCTACATTGTTCCAATGGATCACGTTACTTCTGGTACATTATTAGACAAAGACGTTTGGTCTGAAATTCAGGTTTGTGGCTTGTTTTATCTTAATATTGATTCTAAGTAATTAAAATAAAAAGATTTTTAACTGTAGTGTAATCTATAATATTTTTAATGTAAGTTTGATTGTATTGAATGTAGTTAAATTCAGTTTAATAATTAATCTTTAAAAATAATAAATATGTTTTTTGATTTTAATTTAATACAGACCTTTAAAAAACGCCTGACTAAAATGTTTGACGAAATGGATAAAACTGTTATATTTATGGAGACAAGTATACATCACAGATGGCATCCTCATTGTTTTATTGAATGCATTCCTGTATCAAAAGAAGATGGTGATGTGGCTCCTATGTACTTCAAGGTATTTATTATTATTAATATCATTGTGTACTTGTTTTCAAACATTGTCAGTTTTAAATATATCGTATAGACTTTGTTTGATCAAGGAACATTACTGTATTTATACGAACTAGCATACAGATCTGTACTCTGTACAATTTTTACATTTCTTCAAAGAACATGATTTAGGATTCTAGCCTTGACTTTTTTATTAATTTATTCTCAAGAAAAGCCATAACATTCACTATTCTTGCTCTCTGCTAGAGGCAAACTTCAATTACAAACTTTACAATTTACTTTTAATGCCAGTTTGGGTAGTGTTTTTATTAATTAGTTCATAACATAAATTAAACTTTTAACATTAACATGTTAAAAGTTTAAAAACTGAATGGTTCATACTGAAGCTGTATGCTTTTCAGTGTAAAATCATTTGCCTTTCTTGAACTTCATAACATCAAATATTGTACAGGGTTATGCATACTTAATACTATATTTTTTAACATTGAAATAAAGGTAAACTCTTCAAGGTTTTTTATGTGAGTCACAAATGTTCAATGTGTCCATCTTTGCTGATGTAGCAGATGTCTAGCTGATAATCCATTTCCTTAAACGTGCACGTCAGTTCAGTCTCTTGCAGAGAATTTGCCATGCAAGGTACCAACTTCTAACCTTGCATGTGTAGACTTGCAGGGGACTGTAGAATGTGTTCAAGTGAACAATCCACAGTTTGTTCACTTGGTCCTGTGTGTCCAGAACAAGGAGCAGTGCAGATACAGCCTACTTCTTGGAATTTTACATATTATTTCAGGATGTTATACATGGGTGGCTCCTTAATTGCGGAATTCTGCCCAAAATTGCTTTTGTACAATTACAACAAGCAAGGTTCTTGCATATTCCAACACACAAGATGACTTTTCACATTTGCTTAGTGCAATATTTGCTACTATTGCCTCCTAGCAACAAATCACAGCAACTATATTTAAAAAATTTAGTACAAATGATGTACTATGTATTCATAGTAATAACGATAAAATAAATTATAGAACTATAAATATTTAAGTGTTTAGAGATGAATTAATAATTTTAATATGAAATACCATATCTAGCAACATTATTAAGATTTCTGAAAAAAAATTATTACTGAACATAATTTTTCATTAAAATTATTATTTTAATANAATTACAACAAGCAAGGTTCTTGCATATTCCAACACACAAGATGACTTTTCACATTTGCTTAGTGCAATATTTGCTACTATTGCCTCCTAGCAACAAATCACAGCAACTATATTTAAAAAATTTAGTACAAATGATGTACTATGTATTCATAGTAATAACGATAAAATAAATTATAGAACTATAAATATTTAAGTGTTTAGAGATGAATTAATAATTTTAATATGAAATACCATATCTAGCAACATTATTAAGATTTCTGAAAAAAAATTATTACTGAAATTAATTTTTCATTAAAATTATTAGTTTACTCTAATTTTATTATAATATTTGTATTCAGTATAGTTGTTATAGCTATGTGTACGTTCGTAAAGTCAAATGAGTTAAACGCGTTACTAATGAATCGTTCGAAAAGTATTAGTCTTGTCCAGTGCGCATGCTCTGCGGTGATGACGTTTCGAACGAAACTCTAACGAACTTCATGAAGGAAAGAATTAGTTTACTTCGTTAAGAAAATGGCGCCCAACGATATCAATGTTTCTAATACTACTCGAGTGTTTAAATTATGAATTAAAAGGTGAAATTATTGAAATAACTGTCCACCTGAAGCAATCTAAGAAAAATATTTTGGATAAGGCTGCACTAGCAATATTCATATCTTCAATTTTAGAAACATCCATTTAGTTATAAACAAATTGTTCGAAAAATCTAACAATATAAGAATAACAATGACATCATTTTTGTTTAACTCGTTCAACTTTATGAATGTACCCTGTGTACAGTACTTACATTAATTATTGACAAATGATAAGTACTGTCCATATATAATGTTTGTTATTATTGCATCTAAAACTTTTGTTTATTCGTTTTTAGAAAGCCATAATGGAATCTGAAACAGAATGGTCACTTAACAAAAAATTAATTGATCTTTACAAGAAAGATCTTCTTCATTCGGTAAGTTTAATTTTTAAATTAATCTGCAAGTATAATTATAATTCACGTGTCTAACCAAAGAAAGAAAGAAGAAAAGTTCTAAATTGCCTTTATTGTTGGAATCACCGACTATACATATATTAAATAATTCTTTATATTTCATAATTCTGTGTGCGCAGTAGTAAAGGAACTCTTTTGGTGATTAAATGATCTAAAAAACAGAAATTTAACTTCATTTACTGTTGATTTCATGCATTATTAGATGCATTTTGGGCTGACTTTCATTTAACAGCCCTTCATCAGTAACTAAGATTATTTAAAAGATATTTTTTTAACTAATTTTGTATTTATATATAACAGATATAATAAAAAACCCATACTTGTTGGCCTGGAATGCATTTGATAATGTATGAAATCAACCAGAGTAGATGAAATTAAAATTCTACATTTTGAATCATTGAATCACAGTCTTCCTTTACACCTGAACACAAGATTACAGAATTTAAAGAATTATTTAATCTAAATTTCCATTTATGAAAAGAAACTTGACTTTTAGTTAAACTGGTAATATAAATTATGTTATTTTACTTCAAAAATTTTTCCCTGAAAGTAGTTAGCAAGTGTGTCGAACCACTGATCTGTCTAACAGGAAAAGTATGGTGTACAGGAGCAAGTCACTACTAATTAGAGGTGGAGAGCATATATTTTAAAATAAATAAAACTTAACTGCAATTTTTAATTTAACACCAACAAAATATATTTTCATTTCAAAATTTTTAAATGAAAACATTTTAATCTGAAGCATATTCTTCTAAATATTTAATGTTACAGTTTTAAGTACATACAGTATATTCTCGATTATCTGTGTATGGATTAATCGCGAATGCCTATGTCTGGAATACAAATACTGTATTAGCAATAAAATAAAGTCTGTACTGTTAACTCCTGCTATTTAAAGTGGTATGTTGAGCATGTAACCTAATTTTAAATCTTTTCTTGGGTGATCTTCAGCTTACTGCCGTGGAAATTTGGGTTCAAATTCGATGTGGGCCTTTTTTTGTAAATAGTAGTATTGATTCTTCTTTCATTCTTTGTTCCTGTTGACCGACTCCATTAATTATTTATACCCAAGCTTCTCCAGAATTTGTAAACTTGTGTGTTGATTTCACGCGAGAAAATTCAATCTTATGTAAACAATATGTAGAAACGACAGATTGGATTCTCTTTTGTCTTCAGGATTGGCATACAACAAAATCATTGTATCCATATAAAACATTAAAGCAAATTTTCTAATATTATCAATAAATCTTTATCAGTTTGTGTAATGGCATTTATTTTATCTTAGGTACCGAAAGGTTTACCGTACTTCCATGTTGAATTTGGTACAAGCGGTGGGTTTGCACACATCGTCGAAGAGGAGAAACTATTTCCTCTGTATTTTGGAAAAGTAAGACTCAAATTTAACTTTTTAAGTAATGATTTTTGTGAGTAGGTAACATAATTTTCAATATTTTAAAGGAAGTCATCGGTGGAATAAAGGGCATCGCACCGATCAGGTGGAGGAAGCCACCTAAAGAAGAATTCAAAAAACACTGGAAAAAAGTATTACAATTTGAAAAGCAGTGGGAAAGGGCTTGTTATGACCAGTTTTGCTGAAATGAAATTTCAAAACGTACTGAAGTGCCATCAAAAAATGTACTATTTTCCTTCAAAATGTACTAGTTCTATGAATACTTTAAGTGCCTATATATATATATATATGTGTATATAGTTTATTGTCAAATAATTTAATTTTAAATCTTATTTTTGGAATTTTTTGAAAGCTATTTAAAATTAAAAATATATTTACACATCTATTACTTATTATAAAATGAGCATTACATTGACAACATTTATTAATAATACTATTGAATTTCGTCTTAATTTTATAACCAATCGTGCTTTAAGAAAATAATTATAAATTTGTTATATTATTTATTTAGCATTCTTGTACAAAGACCCTGATGCGGGGATAGAACAAAACAAAATATATACATAACCTTACAAAATAATATAAGCATATTCCACAAATATATCCATCAATTACAATAATATATTAATAGAAAATTACATAATTCATAAAATCATTCTAAACTAAATCAATAAAAACAAAACAAAAAAAAAACTTAAAGAACTACATGGGAGAACTATCCGAAACTAAATTAACAACCAACTAGGTTAAAACTTACCTAGAAAAGAAAAAAACAGTACTTTATATCACGCTTTCAAAAAAGTCGTATAGTCTCCCAAGCAGTCCAAACAACCACGGGTTAAATAATAGTCAGACCATGCCCCATGACAAAATTTACATAAAATAACCACAATTTTCACTTTAAGCCTAAAAACAACAAGAAAGAAGAAAAATCAAGATCATATATATTGTACACATTATGAAATAAACAATTTAACTTTCTTTATAAAAATAAATACCTTAAAAAATAAATCAAAATCAGAAATAACTTTTTAAACTGATTAAATGAAAAACAGGGACCCCCAATGTGTCCTCACGTAATTTTGACAAAAAAGTACAGTGATAATATGAAACGCATCCAATGGCGAGTCAGCCACACCACATATGCAACTCTCCCTTCTGAAATTACATAAAAAGTTTAATGAATTACATCTTACTTGCATTAATACGGTCATAACATTAGAAGAAAAATTACTATTATAGATAGAACTATCAAAAAAGGGTTTATTCAGACTCTTATATCACTCATAATAAGAACTTTAAAATATACTACGATTCAACTTCAAAATATAATTAGAGAGGTTGAGGCGCACGTTTTAAACGTGAAAACGTGTATGTGTGACGTTCGGCGCCGCTTTCCCGTAAGCCTAAAAGTTTGACGATGGTGTTTGGAATGTCGAGCGTGATTCCACCGACTATCCAAACACCATTGTCAAACTTTTAGGCTTACGGGAAAGCGGCGCCGAACGTCACACGTACACGTTTACACGTTTAAAACGTGCGCCTCAACCTCTCTATTATCAAAATTATTTAACTTTAATAGATAGACACTATTAACATCTTGTAACAAATTATCAAAATTAATTCCATTCCTTGAACAATTAGCCAACAAATACTTCGACCAAGATAACTCTACTTGTTTCAAAGCAGAACACAAATCTTACTAAGACATTTATCGTTTAAACTCAACGTTCTAAAAGTCCAATTAACACATCTGTTCAAGATTAAACAAGATAAAGGGATCAGTGAACACTCCATAGATACTAAATAACCAGGAGTACACCTTGGAAGCCCATACATTCTCTTAACAAAAGTAACTAGTATTGTATCCAAGCTTTCCGCCTGAAATCCCCACACCTCGGAAGCATAAAGAAGAGATGAACCCACCACAGCGTTAAATAACCTTAATCGATCCTTCGAATTACACAACTTAGCAGACTGACACACATGAATAACTTTATCCATTTTTATCTCTGCATTAATTTTACAAGACCTCACGTGAGTAGTAAAAAAACCATTACTTTTAAAAATTACACCTAAATACTTATATTGTGATACAACCGAAATTGGAACACTTCGGAACCACCATTTATCAGCCTTAGACACCTTACCACCATTTCAAAAGACCACAATTTTAGATTTTGCAAGATTCAATTGTAAACTATTATCCTTTAAATATTTATCCAGAAGGTCAATCAACCTTTGCAACAACCTCGGAGAGTCTGCCACAATTACCACGTCATCCGCATACGCTAATATCTTAATAGAAACACCGCCAACAACTATACCATCTCTGCCGGAATCATCAATACAATTCAATAAATCATTTAAGAATAAACTAAAAATAATAGGGCTTAGAATGCAACCCTGTTTAACACCCTTATCAGAAAAGAAAGGCTGAGAACAACAATTTCTCCATTTAATGTTCGAGCCATTATATAACTCTGCCAATAAAGATACAAACTTAAACCAAACTTTAATAATTTCCTCCATAATAAATTCCTATCAACAGAATCAAATGCTGATGCTAAATCTATAAAAAATACATAAACCTTACGCCGTTTCCTACTTAATGTCTTAGCAATAACTGTATACAGGATAAAAATATTATCAACAGTCAAGTAACCTGTATGGAAGCCAGCCTGACTCTGATAGAATATCTCTCATACTCAACCAACTTATTAACCGGTAATACAAAACTCTACAAAAAATCTTAGAGACAACACAATAACGAGATACCTCTATAATTTGTAATCACTGACCTTGAGCCACCCTTAGGCACTGAACCAATAAAGAACTCTTCCATTCATCCGGAATAACACCAGTTCTAAAAACCTTATTAAAATTATCTAATAAACAAAAGAAAGCACTATCAATTTTCCAAAATTCAGTAGGAATACCATCTATTCCCAGAGCACCACCAACACTCGACTTACTTAAAACGATTCTTAGTTCCTCCTCCGAGATATAAGAATCTAATATTTCGTTCGACCAAGTCATGCAATTATTAAAAACACTAAATCAACATTATATGGACTCTCAGAGCCATAAAGGGAGAAGAAATAACTAAACCAATCAAGTAAACTGATATTTACCCTAACGCGATTTCCTCTTGCTTTACATAAATTCCAAAATAATCTATTATTTTTATAAAAGCTTTTAACATTTGTAACCTTTTACAAAATTCTTTCTTCTTTGCTAAACATAATTTCTTTACCAAGCTTTGGTACAATACAAAAACTCTCCTCTGAGCCGCCAAACCGTTTTTTTTAAACTCTAACCAAGCTTTATTTCTAGCTCTAATCATTCGTCGACAATCCAAGTCAAACCAATCATCAATTCCAACCATAGTCTTTTTCCTTTGAGTCAATCCTTTCACTTTAGCCAAATCCAATATCACCTTGCTGAGCTCCAACAAAGATAAATTAGGGGTCTGTTCCAAGCAGCACCTCAAACCAGCAGACAATGACTCCAGCTGATCTATATCCCAGAAAATCCTCTGATAACAAGTGCCAGAACCACCCAAAGAATCTGTAGTACAATCTTCCAAATAGAGTACTATTGGGCAGTGACCAGACCAAAAACAAGTCTCTATTCTAAAACATTTAATACAATTCCACACAGAAGGAGTAACTATTCCCAAATCAATTACCGAGGATCCTCGGTTAGAAACAAAAGTAAACTCTCATGCTTCATCACCGGAAGCTCGTCCATTTAGAATTATTAAATCATTATCTGCACAATACTCCAGAACTTTCCATCCTCTCACATTCATATTTACATCCTTGGAAGCTCTACTTCTCTTATTAACAGTAATACCTCTGCAATCACTTATACTTGTCGAAATTATATTTTGGTCACCAATCCGTGCATTAAAATCACCCAACCAAATCCAATTAGAATCGTCAATCTCAAACCTAGACAATACATCAAAAATTTCTTGCCATCTTTGTTCCTGTATATAAACAAAACAAATATTAAACTCTCCTAATGGTAGCAAAATATTAATCAGTATAATATAACTATCTCTATAAATAATAATAAATTTCAAAGAAGATTTAATGCAAAGCAACCAGCCATAGGTCTACCTCTATTGTGAACCCTCAAGGCATCACCAACAATACAATGATATTCTCTTAATTTCTCCTAATAGCATCCACTCCCACCTTTAATGAACCATGTTTCCGATAAAAAAAAACCACATCATACTTTAATAGATAACTCCAAAAGGACTGCGGTTTATTACCAATTCCAGCACAATTCCATGCCATAATAGAAAACACAGAAGTCGTTGGTAGTTGCTATGAAATCGGCACCACCTTGGCCGATATTTCATCATATTTATACCGAACTCCATCCACCAATAACTTATCATAGCTTAACTCAGCAATTCCCAACCTGTGGTACGCGTACCCTAGGAGTACGGGATAGGTTGTTTAGGGGTACAGAAAAAAGTTAGTTATTATGGCAGAAAAAATAATATATTATGTATCACAAACTAATAGTATTAAAAAATTATTAGGTAAAATATGTTCCTTGCAACAATCACAACTTTATTATACATTTTTTCATTTAGTTTTTTTTTTTCTTTAATTTAAAGTTACAATATGTAAAATTAACAATACGGGTACTCACTAAATTTCTTAAATGAGAGGTACTACTGTACAGTACGTTACCATATCTTCAATCGTCTCAATTGTTCACGGACTTCACGTCAAGCTAAAGAACACTAGAAAATCCTGTTACTACAGAATGTAGTAGTTATTGCAATCATTAAAGGAAGGAGTAATCAAAAGATTAAATGGTTACAAAACACGAACTGTATGTGGCATTTAAACAATTTTGGATCCTAGATTCAAAAGACCCGCTTATCGACTCAAGGAGAACTACATAAATGTTTCAAAAGCAATAACAAATGAACTTGCAAATACAGTAGAGCGTCGATTTTCCGAATCAATTGGGGACTGGGGTTGTCCGGATAACTGATATTTCGGATAACTGATTTACGTACGAAAAAATAGTTTAACGTATCCGATGACGAAATTTTTTACCGTTGCGTGTCGCTTCGCGTTGAATTTTCGTCGACGTTAAGCCTAACAAAGACTATTGTATCGTTAAAAATTATTTTTTTTTATTTTGTACAAACAAAATAAATATATTGAAAAATATAAAAATAATAAAAAATTATACTTCAGATGTTAATTTAGTATCAAAAACGTAAAATATTT